CAGAAATGCCCTCAGCACCCTGTGCATCCTGCCCAGCCCCCCTGGCCACCCTGCTGTTCCACCGCCTATCAAATCCCACTCAGTTCCTTGTTCCCTGTCCCACCTTCTGGACTATTCTTGGGACATAAATCCAGCAGCAGACAGCTGTTGGTGCCTCAAACAGTCCTGCCCTGACTTCCCCGCTGTCGGCAGTATCCTGCTCGCTCCATGACATGCCCCCCAGCTGCCATTGTGATTGATACAACAAATTCTACTGAGCTGCTGTCTGGCCTTGAAAATGCCCTAAACCAGTGATTGCCAGTTTAGGCTGCCCATTAGGGATTTAAAAACCTGGGCTTTAGAAAGAAAAACAGATTCCTGGGACCACCCAGAGTCATTAGTCGGGTGTGCTCTGTCCAGCAGGATTTTTCAGTTTTCCTGGTAATTTTGTGCAGTGCACATTGAATGACCACTGTCCAAAACCAGCGACCTGCAGGCTTTTTAAATATACATAATCACTGAATGATCTCATTAGGATCTGAGTCTGGTTTACTTAGGTGGGGGTGGGTCCCAGGATTCTGCCTTCCTAACAAGCTTGTTGCGGCTCCTCCTTTCCGAGAAGGCCCTCCACCCCTTCCTTGCATTCCAGCACTAATGGCCTGACCTCATCTTCCCTTTGTCATGTGCTTCGAATCTCCACCTTTTTCTTTCTTGCCATGGTGCCCCCTCATCAAAGCTGACTTTCCCTTGTGCCTTGTTTTTCCAGCCTCTCCTACCTGCGCCCTGACCAAATCCCATCAGCCTCTCCTCCCTCCCTTATAAATGTTGCCGAATAATTAGCATGGGTACATAAACACGTTTGAGACCCTGCTATCAATTTCTGAGTGTACATCTGAAAATGGGATTGCAGCATCATACAGTAGTTCTATCTTTAACTTTTTGAGAAACTGCCTTATTCCACAGTGACTGCACCGTTTTATATCCTCATCAGCAACACACAAACGTTGCAGTTTCTCCACATCCTTGCCAGCATGTGTTTTGTTTGATGATTCCACCCTAGCAGGTGTGAGGTGGTACCACTCTCTTGTACTCATCGCCATCCCCCATTATGTGGCTGCTACTTTAAATTCATGTCCACAGCCAAAGTAATCTGCCACCACTCTCTCCTTACCTACCCATACCTACTGATGCTCTTAGTTGGGATGATAATCTCTTCTGCTGATACCTTTTCAAACCGAATACCTGTCCCCAACATGTTTAATCAGCTGCCAAGCCCTGTTGATTCTTCACAGAAACCACACGTGTTCCCCCTGCATGCAGGTTCCCATTCTATCTCTTGCCAGGATGCCTGTGCAGAGCACATGGTGTTGACACACGTCTGAGCTGTGCCCTCTAGGCCCCTATAAATACACACCTTAGCTTCCATTGCCCACCAGAAGGGGGACAAATGACCAGTTAGTGAACATCTGTTACCTGCCAGGCACTGCACGAAGTGTAGTTCACCTCTCAGCACGAAGCAGGCCCAGAGAGGTGACTGAAGGTCACACAGCTAGTAAATGGTAAATGAATTTAAACCAGTTCAAAAACAGCCTGACTCCAAAGTCTATTCTTACATCCTGCTCTTGTGCCTCAGCAATCTTGTGAGTAGATGCCTCAGTTCCCTCTTGGTGCAGAAAAGCACTAAGTTAAGTAACTTACTAACTCCGGAGCTGGACTTCGAGCCTGGGGCTGACTTCAGAGCTTGCCCTGCTGATGCCTCATTTCCAAGCAGGCAGCAAGGCCTGTTTCCTCCAGGACCCGAATGGCTTACCAGCTTATATATTCCCACTACTGCCTGATCCCTTGCCCCACATCAGACAGTATGCCACTAAAGACATTGAATCTTGGTTTTATCTCTGCCTTTGGTCTTCAAGCCCACAAAATCTGCAGCTGGAAGAACCCCCTCGACTCTTCAGGAGCTCACAACTGAGCTGTAACATTCTGGGGCGCAGGCAATGTGCCAAATCAACACCACAGCACTCCTGGGCAAGGCTGAGTGCGCCCACGAAACATGCTGAGCTAGCAGGGCAGGCGTCCCTGCAGAGGGTGCTTGTAGGCCACCAAAAGTGCAGAAGCATTCCGGGAGCAGGACACCTGCGGGTGGAAAGGCGCTTGAATCTGAGAGGTGGGATTAGCTCTGGCACCACAGGTCGGCAACTGGGTTTGCATTGCATTGACCTGCTTGCCCTCCTTCCCTGACCTCCAGGTCTCCACGTGAGCGGTGAGTGCTCTCATCCCCGAAGGTGCCTTGAGCAACGCTTCCCAGCCTGAACTTTTGTCCCAATCATACCGCCACCAAGCAAACAGCAAGCCACCCACTCACAGCTTGGGGTGGCTGAGCTGGGCTGCGCAGTTGCCGCCTCGGGGTTTCGTTCAGACCAACCCCGCGTGAAGACGCAAGAGGGAAAACTGGGGAGGGAGGCTCAACGATCCCCTCCCGCGCGCACGGACCCTCAGCGCTGCCTTCCTCTGTCGGGGCGGCCAGGAAAGAGGTTTTTACTGAAAGCAGGTGGGTGAGTGTCTTGTCTGCGTATCAAGCTTAGAGGTGTGAGGAAGACCCTCTTTTGGCCAATGAACAATTGCGGGGGACGTTGGAGCGGCCGAGTCGCTTCATTTGCTGCTCGGGGAAGGGTGGGCGCGGGGACCGTCGGCGAGGCCCGGCCCAGCGCCGCCGCCCCGTGGGCATGGCGGGCAGGTCACCGGCCTGGCACTCCCGGCGGGCCGTGGCAACGCAGTAGAGGGCCTCCACACCCGCCTCGGTGCGAGCCGGGGACGTTGCCTGGAGCGGCTCTTCGTTGGGCTGGGAGTGAGGCCCGCGGCAGGGCACCGCGGGGTGGGCGCCTGAGCGTCGTCACGGAGGAGGGACTTGGGGACAGTGGCCCACGTGCACTCGGTCAGGAGACACCGGGAAGCGCTAGGCGTCCGCTGCGGGGGGGAAGTTCCGGGGGCGGGGCGGGCCTGCTCGGTGGGCGTGGGCGCGGGAAGGCGGCGCGAACCGGGCCCGTAGCACCGGCAGCCCCCGGGAATGGCTGGTACGGGAGGGTGGGGAGTGCCAGCCGAGGTCACAGCGGAGGAGCCGCTCCGCACGGATGTGCCTCTGGACGCCCTCCCGCAGAATGTGGCCCCGAGAAAGCCTGGGAACGACTACAGCTTTCTGTGCTTCCGAATTTTCTCATTTTTTCTATGTGTTTTAAGAAAGGGGTCGGCTGCCTAGGCATATTGACTGGCTGTCCCCCAGGGAGGCAGGCAAGGCGCGGGCCCAGGGCCGGTGTGGCTGGGACGCAGACGGGCTGGGGACTCACTGCGGGCGGCCCTCCTCTCGCCCCTCGGCCTTCTCCCGCCTCAGGCCCGACGGTCACCCAGCCCGGTCCTGTTTCTCCAGTTCTCTCCCAGCGACCCCCTGTCCTCCGGCCCCCCATCCCACGGCTTTACCGGGCCGGCCGCGGCGTTCCGCCCTTTGGTGCTAAGGCCATGCAAACACAATTTCCTGTACATCCAGATCTCTTCCTTCTGAGTCAATTATCACATGTGAAATGGTAAATGCACAGATCTTCCCAGCGTGGGATGACTCAGCGTCGTGACCAGACGCTGCATCCACAGCTAATGACACAAAGTCTGTCGTCCAAGTGATGGTCACGTTTTCATTATCTAGCCCTTCTCTGGCAGTCCCAAAGGCAGCTCCCCGTGGTTCCACATCCCAGTGCATAAACAGTCTGCCGTACCACCAAATACTGTTTTTCCTCTATTCCATTTAAAACAAGGCAGGGGAAATCCTCCCGACTGGCTGATAGTCTAAAGTGCAGAGCACACCTTTCGTGGTGAAACTAAAGAATTCAGTGACTGTCCAGTAGCTTAGTAAATTCTTTGGCAGTGTAGTGAGCGCCAGTTTTATATCCTCATCAGCAACACACAAACGTTGCAGTTTCTCCACATCCTTGCCAGCATGTGTTTTGTTTGATGATTCCACCCTAGCAGGTGTGAGGTGGTACCACTCTCTTGTACTCATCGCCATCCCCCATTATGTGGCTGCTACTTTAAATTCATGTCCACAGCCAAAGTAATCTGCCACCACTCTCTCCTTACCTACCCATACCTACTGATGCTCTTAGTTGGGATGATAATCTCTTCTGCTGATACCTTTTCAAACCGAATACCTGTCCCCAACATGTTTAATCAGCTGCCAAGCCCTGTTGATTCTTCACAGAAACCACACGTGTTCCCCCTGCATGCAGGTTCCCATTCTATCTCTTGCCAGGATGCCTGTGCAGAGCACATGGTGTTGACACACGTCTGAGCTGTGCCCTCTAGGCCCCTATAAATACACACCTTAGCTTCCATTGCCCACCAGAAGGGGGACAAATGACCAGTTAGTGAACATCTGTTACCTGCCAGGCACTGCACGAAGTGTAGTTCACCTCTCAGCACGAAGCAGGCCCAGAGAGGTGACTGAAGGTCACACAGCTAGTAAATGGTAAATGAATTTAAACCAGTTCAAAAACAGCCTGACTCCAAAGTCTATTCTTACATCCTGCTCTTGTGCCTCAGCAATCTTGTGAGTAGATGCCTCAGTTCCCTCTTGGTGCAGAAAAGCACTAAGTTAAGTAACTTACTAACTCCGGAGCTGGACTTCGAGCCTGGGGCTGACTTCAGAGCTTGCCCTGCTGATGCCTCATTTCCAAGCAGGCAGCAAGGCCTGTTTCCTCCAGGACCCGAATGGCTTACCAGCTTATATATTCCCACTACTGCCTGATCCCTTGCCCCACATCAGACAGTATGCCACTAAAGACATTGAATCTTGGTTTTATCTCTGCCTTTGGTCTTCAAGCCCACAAAATCTGCAGCTGGAAGAACCCCCTCGACTCTTCAGGAGCTCACAACTGAGCTGTAACATTCTGGGGCGCAGGCAATGTGCCAAATCAACACCACAGCACTCCTGGGCAAGGCTGAGTGCGCCCACGAAACATGCTGAGCTAGCAGGGCAGGCGTCCCTGCAGAGGGTGCTTGTAGGCCACCAAAAGTGCAGAAGCATTCCGGGAGCAGGACACCTGCGGGTGGAAAGGCGCTTGAATCTGAGAGGTGGGATTAGCTCTGGCACCACAGGTCGGCAACTGGGTTTGCATTGCATTGACCTGCTTGCCCTCCTTCCCTGACCTCCAGGTCTCCACGTGAGCGGTGAGTGCTCTCATCCCCGAAGGTGCCTTGAGCAACGCTTCCCAGCCTGAACTTTTGTCCCAATCATACCGCCACCAAGCAAACAGCAAGCCACCCACTCACAGCTTGGGGTGGCTGAGCTGGGCTGCGCAGTTGCCGCCTCGGGGTTTCGTTCAGACCAACCCCGCGTGAAGACGCAAGAGGGAAAACTGGGGAGGGAGGCTCAACGATCCCCTCCCGCGCGCACGGACCCTCAGCGCTGCCTTCCTCTGTCGGGGCGGCCAGGAAAGAGGTTTTTACTGAAAGCAGGTGGGTGAGTGTCTTGTCTGCGTATCAAGCTTAGAGGTGTGAGGAAGACCCTCTTTTGGCCAATGAACAATTGCGGGGGACGTTGGAGCGGCCGAGTCGCTTCATTTGCTGCTCGGGGAAGGGTGGGCGCGGGGACCGTCGGCGAGGCCCGGCCCAGCGCCGCCGCCCCGTGGGCATGGCGGGCAGGTCACCGGCCTGGCACTCCCGGCGGGCCGTGGCAACGCAGTAGAGGGCCTCCACACCCGCCTCGGTGCGAGCCGGGGACGTTGCCTGGAGCGGCTCTTCGTTGGGCTGGGAGTGAGGCCCGCGGCAGGGCACCGCGGGGTGGGCGCCTGAGCGTCGTCACGGAGGAGGGACTTGGGGACAGTGGCCCACGTGCACTCGGTCAGGAGACACCGGGAAGCGCTAGGCGTCCGCTGCGGGGGGGAAGTTCCGGGGGCGGGGCGGGCCTGCTCGGTGGGCGTGGGCGCGGGAAGGCGGCGCGAACCGGGCCCGTAGCACCGGCAGCCCCCGGGAATGGCTGGTACGGGAGGGTGGGGAGTGCCAGCCGAGGTCACAGCGGAGGAGCCGCTCCGCACGGATGTGCCTCTGGACGCCCTCCCGCAGAATGTGGCCCCGAGAAAGCCTGGGAACGACTACAGCTTTCTGTGCTTCCGAATTTTCTCATTTTTTCTATGTGTTTTAAGAAAGGGGTCGGCTGCCTAGGCATATTGACTGGCTGTCCCCCAGGGAGGCAGGCAAGGCGCGGGCCCAGGGCCGGTGTGGCTGGGACGCAGACGGGCTGGGGACTCACTGCGGGCGGCCCTCCTCTCGCCCCTCGGCCTTCTCCCGCCTCAGGCCCGACGGTCACCCAGCCCGGTCCTGTTTCTCCAGTTCTCTCCCAGCGACCCCCTGTCCTCCGGCCCCCCATCCCACGGCTTTACCGGGCCGGCCGCGGCGTTCCGCCCTTTGGTGCTAAGGCCATGCAAACACAATTTCCTGTACATCCAGATCTCTTCCTTCTGAGTCAATTATCACATGTGAAATGGTAAATGCACAGATCTTCCCAGCGTGGGATGACTCAGCGTCGTGACCAGACGCTGCATCCACAGCTAATGACACAAAGTCTGTCGTCCAAGTGATGGTCACGTTTTCATTATCTAGCCCTTCTCTGGCAGTCCCAAAGGCAGCTCCCCGTGGTTCCACATCCCAGTGCATAAACAGTCTGCCGTACCACCAAATACTGTTTTTCCTCTATTCCATTTAAAACAAGGCAGGGGAAATCCTCCCGACTGGCTGATAGTCTAAAGTGCAGAGCACACCTTTCGTGGTGAAACTAAAGAATTCAGTGACTGTCCAGTAGCTTAGTAAATTCTTTGGCAGTGTAGTGAGCGCCCTGGCCAGGCGCCGGTGGGAGGTGGGCTGCATCACTGGGGAAGCCTCTTCCTACCAGGCCGGACCCAGGAGAATTTAACCCCATGAAGGAAGGGACCTTGCTTTTGTTCTCACCATATCCCTGCTGCTTAAAAGTGGCACACAGTAGGTGCTCCACAAAGATTGCAGGCTGGCTAACACTCGGGCTCATGGACTGCCTTAGGGATTGAGCAGGCATAGACCCTGTTGCCAAGGTTGGGATTTCCGTGGCCGTAGGACTCCTTTAGCACCTTGGCGGGCTGTCACTTTCCCCTGTATCACCTCCGTCCGCTAATACATTCACCAGCACCAGAAGGCTGGTCGAGACCTGGGCTTTACACATGCAATCTGACCAAGGGGACTGCCAGGCCTGGGACTCAGAGAGGCAAGCAAGGCTGGTGCTCCGAAATGCACACGCACTCGCATGGGTGAAGACCTCCTCACAGCTATTTGGTGGAGGTGCTGGGGAGTGGCCCTAACAGTGGGGGTGCCCCCTCGTTTCTCTGGCTTCTCTTAACCTTATTCAATGGCCAGAAAGCCACAATCGATAAAACAGTAACTCAGTTCTAGAAACTGCAGGGAATATGGCCACAAGATTCTCAATTATTTGAATGTCTGGCTTCAGATAGAAAGGGATTCCTTCATGTTCTGTTGTTTCCTGTTCATTTTTAAGGTGACTGCCTGGAGTTACATGCCTTTCTCTCACACCTCATTAAATGTTTCACTGAGAAGCCAACACACTAATTTCCTGACATTTTGCCACCAAGTCCCCTGAAGCTCCAGCTCTTGGGCACATGTGGTTGGACCTCATGAGATGCCAGGTGACACACCAACTCACTGCCCAGGACAGGGTTCCTCACGCCATTCTGTACCTTAGGGCTTGTAGTTTGCAAGTTCTCACCCCCTTTGCTAATCTCGGGGTTACGAGTATCAGAAACCGTCCGAGCAAGTTAAACAACAATGCCCCCAGTGCCCAGTGGGACATCTCAGCGTCAGGGGGCCCAGGGGCAGGAGTGCACAGGTCTCAGCCTTCCTCCATGAGGATGTTTATTCTGTCTCTCCCCCAATGGGCTTGCTTCACTTTTCTGTTCCTTTCTTTGCAGACCAGCTTCCCATTTCTCTATGTTCTCCAACTTTTCTGTGTTTTAGGTCCAAACCCCAGGGCCCTCCATTAACTCATCTGCCGTCTGCTCCATTAGGAAATCCTACTGGCCTTGCCTTCAGCAAATGCCTCTAACCATGCCACCTCCTCGTCACCCCTCCAGCAGCCTGATTACTGCTATGGTGTCATCGCCCTCTGCTTTAGCTCTGACCCTCTGCTGGCTGTCCTCAACACCTGGGCCACATGGCTCTGTCAAGAGCATGCCACTGTTGTTATGCTCAGACCTAGCCAACCAATCTCTTCTCATTAGGCAGACCCCCCAAGGCCTTGTGCAGTGCCATCTTCCTGTGGTCCGGTGACTACCACGCACCCTTGCTCGCCCCTCCCTGGCTGCCCGGCAATGCCTTCAGCTCACCGCCTCCCTCTGCTCTGGGGCCCATAGACGCCTGTGTGGCGCCCACCCTCACTTCTGCTGGACCCTCAAGTCACCTTCGTGATGAATCCTTTCTTGGTTAAGCCAACAAAATCTCACCCACTGACATTTCCTGTCTACTTTCCCCTCTGAATTTTTTCCTCCAGTCTTTATCACTGTCTGGTGTCCTTAGGATTTGCTCGTTTCATTCATTGTTTGTCTCCTCCAATAGAATTAGTCTTTAATCTGCCACTGTATCCCAGACTTGGAACAGTCAGTGCCTGGCACTCAGTAGGTTTATTCTGAATAAGTCAGTATACACCAGAGGAAAGACCGATCTCTCTGCCCTTCCCCAAATAAAATAGAACAGACATGCTGGCTCCTCAGGGGGCCCTGGGGAGCATGGGAGACGAGGGGCCTAGGGAGCGGGCCCAGCTCGCTCGCCCACCAGACCCCAGAGCCTCGTCCCCTGCTGTCCTGGGCCTTTGCAGGTATGTCCATTATTAATGCAGCTTAGTCTTTTAACAGGGCCATTGATGATCAGAAAACACATTCTAAGAGCCAAAGAGTGGCTTCAGAAATCTCAGGCGCTGTGAGAGGCTGGCTTCCAAGCTCAAGACTCCTGCAGCCAGGCCTCTGCCCCAGGCCCAGGCTGCTGGCCCCGAGCCTCAGTTGGGCCACCTTCCCTGGCCCCCTTCTCCTGAACTCAACTCCTGAAGCCCGAAGGTCTGGGAGGGGAAGTCAGCGCGAGCAGGTGGCACTGGCTCACTGGTGGGGCAGGCCAGACGCCACGTGCACTATTTGGCCACTTAGAGAAGAGGGAACTGCTGCCACTTGGAGTTGGGTAGGGTCCTCGCTAACACTGCGCTGTCCCCTGCTACACGGCCAGACTCACCGACGCGGACCCCCTTGGCCAAGCCAGCCATCTCCCTGAGCAGCGACAGCCACCTCATCCTGGGACCCTGGCAGCGCCCAGCCCTGCAGGATGTCCAGGCAGGACGTGAGGTAAACTGGGGCCAGCTGGGGCCACCTCCACAGCCCCGCTTCCCCGATGGCTGACGGGTGCACCAGGGCCATACACAAACCAGAGTAGTTGTTAAATGCCACCAGTCATTGTTTGGACGCTTCTCAGAACACAAAACATGGGCCAGTTGTTTGTGGCCGAGAAGCTCGCTTGCTTATCAAGGCTGTGGTGAGAAAACCGATCACCTGCTCTCACCGCCTCCAGGTCATCTACCCACCTCCAAATGTTTTGCTCCCTGTCTGGCTCTGGCCTGAAGGATAAGAGACCCTCGCTGGCCCCAGGGGTCTGAAGAGGGTCCGTCTCCCACAATTCCTTGGCATCGGGGGCCTGCCTTTCTTTAGGCTCCAGTCACATCATCTCGGTGCTTTAACCTGGGTTCTTACTGTTAATAATAGCTGTCATTCACATACACACTAACTTACTTGGTCCTCCCAAAGCCCAAGGCCGGTTTGCCAGAGGGGAAGGACAGGCCGAGAGAGGCAAAGCAGCTGGCTCAGTGAGCAGCGGAACCAGGGGCCAGATTCGGTTCCCACAGACCCTCAGCCCCCAGCAACGCTGCAGTGCATGTGGACACCCATGTGTGGCTCCGGGTGGGACAAGCCCCGAGTGGCTGAGAAGCCTGCCCCAAAGGGGCCCCCAGGACGGAGCTGGCCCATCCACGGCTGGCAGAGCACTGGGCCCCACCTCTCCCCAGCTCCTGCCCTCCCGCCTTCCTTCCCACCCCCTCCTGGCCCCCGCTGCGCCTCCCCTCACTGTGTCCCCCACGGCCTAGTGTCCCAGCAAAACTCATCAATGGAGGCGTGGCAGGGCTTGTTGGGGTCGCCTGTGTGTTCCCCATCGACTTGGCCAAGACTCGACTGCAGAACCAGCATGGAAAAGGCATCTACAAGGGAATGTGGGTACCGCTGAGGGATGGGCCGGGGACATGGGCATAGGGAACTGTCCTGGACTGGCGGGTGGGCAGGAGGCTCAGGGCCTGGCTGGGGGCCGATGGCACACCGCCAGCCCAACCAGCTGCTTGCTGAACTCCCCTCCTGGTCTCTGCTTCCAGGACAGACTGCCTGATGAAAACGGCGAGGGCGGAGGGCTTCCTGGGCATGTACCGAGGTGGGCTCCTCAGGCATCCCTGGGGGCTGGCTGGGCCCCATGAGGACAGAGGGGTGCCCGGGGTACTAGCCTCTGAGGTCAGATGGTTGAGAATCCACGTTCCTTCCACCCTCGGGACTCCTGGGGTGGGGCCTGGACTACCCTGACCCTGGACCACATTGCTTTCCACGAGCCCTCATGTTCTCGGGTGGAGACAGAGGTGGTTACAGTTTTAGGGGGGACATAAGGAGCAGACGGCCCCAGGAGCCCTGGGCTCCCTTCCCGGTACCACCACTGCCTCACTGGGTGATGCCAGAAGCATGTGAGTCCCTGAACTCCCCACCACAAGCCGGCCCTCACAGCATCCAGAGGCTAAGCTAACAGCAGGAGGCCAAGAGGCTGCCAGGGACAGAGAAGGGGAAGGGTCCCATCCAGGCCACATGCCTAGGGAAGTGCATACAAAGCCAGCACCCAAGAAATAGAGGCCAAACCTCTGTGACCCACAGAGCTGCGGCAACTGGGCTGGGGCAGCAGAGAAACTGAAACCAGTCTGCCCCCGGGACCTTACTACCGGGGCTTAATGTGGGGAGCTGCTCATTTATCACTGCAGACAGGTGGCACTGGTGAGGCCACTTGGCGAGCCCGCAAACACACCCAGGAAGGTGGACACCCCAGCAGAGATGGAAGAAACTTGTTCCAATGACGTAGGCAGAGGACCCTCCTGGGCACCCACCCCCACGCCAGGACGTCAGATTCTCCCAGAAGCCTACCTGGCTAGGGCTGAGAGCAGGCTGTGTGAGCAGCAGACTCGGGGGACTGCTGCTTCTGACCTGGGCTTAACAGCTTTCTGCTTTGCTTCCAGGGGCTGCTGTGAACCTGACCTTGGTCACTCCAGAGAAGGCCATCAAACTGGCAGCCAACGACCTCTTCCGCCAGCTGTTGATGGAAGATGGGTATGGCCGGGTCGGGTGGGACATAAGTCCTTCGCAGCATGCCCATGTTTTGGAAGGGAACAGCAGCAGGACTGCGCACGTGTGTTCAGTTTACCTGTCTGCTTGTGTACTAATAGGTACACACAATGACTGAGGGTTAGTATGTGTGTTTTGGCAGACAAAATGAATGGAAAAAAATGAAGCTGGTGTAATTTGGGAATTCTACATAAATCAGATGATAAAATGACAGACTGACCATAAAGTGCACACAGGCATTCATCCACTAGCTGATGAATTTTCCCTAGTTTTAATAAGATCTGACATGCAGCAAAAGCACACAGCATGAACCTGATGTGCTGTAAAATGATCACCACAGGTTAACAGCCATCATTTCAAAAGCAGACTCGGGGGACTGCTGCTTCTGACCTGGGCTTAACAGCTTTCTGCTTTGCTTCCAGGGGCTGCTGTGAACCTGACCTTGGTCACTCCAGAGAAGGCCATCAAACTGGCAGCCAACGACCTCTTCCGCCAGCTGTTGATGGAAGATGGGTATGGCCGGGTCGGGTGGGACATAAGTCCTTCGCAGCATGCCCATGTTTTGGAAGGGAACAGCAGCAGGACTGCGCACGTGTGTTCAGTTTACCTGTCTGCTTGTGTACTAATAGGTACACACAATGACTGAGGGTTAGTATGTGTGTTTTGGCAGACAAAATGAATGGAAAAAAATGAAGCTGGTGTAATTTGGGAATTCTACATAAATCAGATGATAAAATGACAGACTTACCATAAAGTGCACACAGGCATTCATCCACTAGCTGATGAATTTTCCCTAGTTTTAATAAGATCTGACATGCAGCAAAAGCACACAGCATGAACCTGATGTGCTGTAAAATGATCACCACAGGTTAACAGCCATCATTTCAAATAGTAAAAAATTTCTCCTTGTGATAACTTTTAGGACCTACTCCTTTAGGAACTTTCAAATATGCCACAGAGCTGTCAGCCATAGCCACACACATCACAGCCCCAGGACTTGCAACGAAGTTTGTGCCATTAGACCACCTTCCCCCAATTCCCCTTCCCCCTCCCCCTGCCTCTGGTAACCACAAATCTTTTTTTTTTTTTTTAATGTGTTTGGGTTTTTTAGATTCTAGAACATCATATGGCATTTGTCTTTCTGGCTCATTTCACTGAGCATTAACACCCTCAGTGTCCTTCCACATCATCACAAATGGCATGATTCCATTCTTTTTACAGCTGAGTACTATTCCGTTATGTACATGTACCACCTGTAGCCTTTCATCCATCAACAGACACTTCAGTTGCTTCTGTATCTTGGCTATTATAAATAATGCTGCAGTGAACATGAGGGTGCATATATCTTTTTAAGTTAGTGATTTTGTTTTCTTTGGATAGATTTCCATAAATGGAATTACTGGATTATATGGCATCTCTATTTTTTACTTTTTGAGGAACCTCCATATTGCTTTCCACACCAACTGACATTCCCACCAACAGTGTGGGAGGGCTCCCTTTCCTCCACATCATCGCCAACACCTGCTATCCCTGGTCTATTTTATGACAGCCATTCTAAGAGGTGTGAGATGACATCACATTGTGTTTGATTTGCATATCCCTGACTAGTAGTAATGTGGAGCACCTTTTCACATGCCTGTTGGCCATTTGTCTTTGGGAAAATGTCTAACCAGATCTTCCCATTTTCTAATTGGATTACTTTTTGCTATTGGGCTGTGTGAGTTCTTTGTTTTTGGATATTAACCCCTTGTCAGATGCATCATTTGCACAGATGTTCTCCCACCCAGTAGGTCGCCGTCTCACTTTCCTGGTTTCCTTTACTGTGTGGAAGCTTGTTTGCCGCAGCCTGACCATTACTGTTTGTTTGGTTGCTCAGGCTTCAGGTGACACAAGTCAAGGAGTTTTTTCCGTTTTCTTCTAGAGGCTTTATGATTTCAGGTCTTACATTTAAGCCTCTAATCCATTTCGAGTTAGTTTTTATGAGTGGTGTAAGACAGGAGCTGTTTCATTTGTTTACATGTGAATGTCCAGTTTTCCTGGCACCATTTAATTGAAGATACCATCTTTTTTTCATTGAGTATTCTTGACTCCCTAACCAAGTATTAGTTGACTGCAAATGTATGGGTTTATTTCTATGCTCTTGATTCTGTTCCATTTATGCTTTTATGCTGATGAAATTTTGAGTATCAACCCCAAACACTTGCTATTTCCCTCTGTGCCTCCCATCACCCTAGTGACTTTGCGTAGGTCAGGGAATGGGTGGCTCTGTTATATGAGCTTAACCTCAGTGCAGGTGCTACCTCCCTGAAGGTCCATTTTAAATTTAGTCTCATGTCTTTATGGGGACAAGCTAAATACTGGGCATGGGAAGTCCTGGTTAACGAGGGAGGGAGGATGGGTGGGCTGGGGTAGCCTGTGGCTGAAGGTACTGGATTCCCGGTACCACAGGAGGCAGCGGAACCTGAAGATGGAAATGCTGGCTGGTTGTGGAGCTGGAGTGTGCCAGGTGGTGGTTACCTGTCCCATGGAAATGCTCAAGATTCAGCTGCAGGATGCTGGGCGCCTGGGTGAGGCCTGTCCCAACTTCACATGGCATAAATGAAGGGCTGTGATCCAATCAGCTTTCCAGGTCAGCAGCAGCAGTCTGTATTGTATGGTTACCATTCTGTTTCAAAATTCCAGCTCTAGAACTATAGCAGAGAAAGGAGACTCTTGAATGAGGAGGGACAAAGAATACCTACTACCTCCATCATACAGCCCTGACATTTTGGTTTGGTTTCCTACAGATTTTAAGAATGTCAACCACCTAACTCATGAATACTTCAGTCAACAGAAGTTATATCATGCTATATTATGTAATGCAGTAGAAGCTGGCTTTTGTAGGAAGGCGAAGGCAAAGAGAACCATTCTATTCTTTTGGTTTTCTCTGGGAGAGAGGTTTGGCCCTTTTCTAGATCCTCATACTCATACAATAGGAGTGCTGTAGCTACCTAAGTATTTACTGAGAACAAGTCCAATGGAAGGGGGCCGGCCCTAGGTAGGCAGAGGGCTGCTTCTCAGAGGTAAACTGCAGGGTCTGAATAACCCTGATGAGGTGCTCAGTGAGTGTGGCTGTCCTTCACCAGCTGTCCACGTGTCCTGTGCTAGCCTTCAAACCAGCCTGAGGCAAATAAAAATGCATTAAGAATCCAGTTCAGGGCCTGGGAAGTCCCCACTGTTTTCCTCTGCAAAGACTAGTCTTTTTCATGATTTTTCAACCTGGATGAGAAGTTTTAGTATTCCTAAAACCTTTAAAAATAAGTGAAAGACAGGAAATAGAGGAATGAATGAATGAATGAATGTTCATATAAAGCAGACAACAGGGAAATAATGTTCATCAGTGACCTGCCTTCTTAAGATTAATTGTGGTACCACCCTTAGAACATATGTACTAGTAAATGGCTTCTTGGTAAGAAAGGCTGCCATGCTGGGCATCAAATCAAACTGGGACATGAAATAATTTCCTGTTAGCAGGGACTTACAATCTAGGGAAAACTTCTCAAACACTGAGAATTAAGAAAATAAGCATTCACACAATTTTAGCGCATTGAATCCAGTGGTCATTAATGAGACTCATTTGAAATGCTTGTATTTAATATGCTCAGGACAGAAATAATTCCATTCTGTTTATTAGATGTTTAACTCATCAAATTATGGGCTCTGAATTATTCAACTAAAATGGGTTGACATATTAAGAATCTAATTCTATGTAACGGGTGAAGGGAAAAAAGGGCATGTTCACTTAAATTTGGGATTCTACATGGAAGAGACACTCTGGAAGTCTGAAGGAGAGTTTTTGGACAAAGATATATAGGATTCCTATGTTCTAAAGTGCTAACAGGATGAAATTATGTCAACAGGCCCAGAGATGGTTTAGAAGTGTAAGTCAGGTGCTAAGAGGATGAGGAATTGCACACCACTACAGCTTCCTATAAAAAAGCATACCAGGCAGGGAGCAGCAGGGACTCACTGGACAATCCAGATCTTAGATTCCCTAGGAGCCAGACATTAGTGCTCTAAACCCAAGCCCATCCTCAGAACCCCAGCAGGTGTCAGCCTGGGGTGAGGGGAGTCTGTCCTATCCCTTCTGGCAGCCCACCACCAGGGTTCGGACTCGGCACCATGCGCCTCCAGGTCCTACATGACTGGCTCAGCATCCACCCACAGGCGCCCATCTGCCACCCTTGTCGCCAGGGAGCTGCTGCGCACCCAGGGCCTGGCTGGGCTCTACAAGGGTCTGGGTGCCACGCTCCTCAGGTGAGGCTTCCCTCCTGAACCTGGACACAGAAGGAGGACCTGGTGGCAGGGAGGAAGCCAAGGGCAAGGGATGTCTAGAATATTCAGACCCAGACAGCAGACTCTCTCTGTGGCACATTTAGTCCAGAACTGGGCAGGGCTGAGTACCTGAAGACTACTTTTAGGCCCCACTTTTGTGACCAGACCCACGTAAGTATTGGGTGTTCTGTGGCCCACACACCCCTACAAATGCCCATCTACAATTGACTGTGGGTCACTTTTAAGTAAATGAGGGGTGGGGCCTGTTTTACTCTGCCACTTGGCCAAAATCCTTCTAGCTGGTTGCAAGTGTCCCAGGCCAGGGCTTCTGTTCTATCAGCTGGGTGACAGTAAGTGAGCCTCACCTTCCTGCCTGCCCCACACCTCACAGGTGGCGCATGGCTCTTCGGCAGCCACCTCTAGCTCTCTGCATCAGCCTGCCTTCCCCAGCCTCTATTCTGCATCCCGCTCATCAGGAGGTCCAGGCCAGGCACTGGGGGCGGGTGCCAAGCTGGGTATGGGCGGTGAATCCATCCTTTCCCCTGCACCCAGCTGGCCAGGGCTGGGGCACAGGAGCAGGCGCCAGTGCATGTCTGCTGAGCCCAGCTCACACAAGGGGCTTGCCACACACACACCTGGGGAGGCCTGAGCACTCACAGCTCAGCACACCCCCTTCCACCGGCAGAGACATCCCCTTCTCCGTCCTCTACTTCCCGCTGTTTGCCAACCTGAACAGCCTTGGAGTCCAGGAGCTCACGGGGAAGGCCTCCTTTGCACATTCCTTCATGTCAGGCTGTGCTGCGGGCTCCATAGCTGCCATCACAGTGACACCTCTGGATGGTAAGTGCTTCGGGGTACGGAGGCCTCGAGGGCTGACTTGCTCTACAGATGAGTTGTCTATAGATAAAAACTAATTTTGCACTTCTAGGATAGAGGAACAGCCCCAACCTGATAACCCTCCTGGGTCACAACCTATGCTACCAGCAGAAATTCACTCAGGTCCTCCCAGGGGAACGTGGGGCCCAGGCCACCTTCACTTGTGTACTGATGAGGCCCCTTGCCCTCAGAGGCTGACTGCATCGGCTTTCTGCCCCAGCACAGTCATGAGCCTCAGCTGTCCACGGCTGCTGCTGGTTTCAACTTGGGGGCTATAGGCAAGAGCTGAGCAGGGTGACAGCGTCCCTGGCAGCCACACCCAGCTCCGTGACATGCAGCTGGAGCCCGACAGTTTGACTAACCTGGGGGCCATGCAGGTTGACTCTCCATCTTGCAGACGGGCCATGCGGAGTGTCCCATCCATGTCACAGGGCCTCAGGCCCAGCTGCTGACAGGCTGGCTCTAACAGGACATGAGCTGCTCCAAGGTGGGGGGCAGTCAAAGCCAACGCTCACTATTTACTTTAACTTTTGCTCAATTTAGTTTTGAAAACTCGAATCCAAACCCTAAAGAAAGGCCTGGGCGAGGACAGCTACAGTGGGGTCACTGACTGTGCCCGGTGAGTGCCCCTCAGTCCCCGGGCCTCTGTGTTGGGGTTGCCCTGCGCCAACCTAGAGAACAGCTCAATCCCCACACTAGGCAGAGCTCTGGATCTGAAATCTGTCCCCTTCCATCACCTCGAACAGAACAGGATGCCCTGCAGCTGTTTCTTCTCCTTCCTCCGGACAGCACCCTTCTCCCCCAGCGTAGCCACACTGAGGCGGTCCCCGTGCCTGGCCCCACGCTTAGCAACAAACTGCACACATGGAATGGGTGCAGCGAGGCCCCCGCCCCTGGGCCTGGCTCCTGCTGTGGAAAGAGCCCCTCCTCTCAAAGGAAGACGTACCAAGGGAGGAGGGGACACTGAGCACTGCATGCAGCTATGATTGCCTATCAGCTCACACAGCCTTTCCTTCTCCCCAGGAAACTCTGGATTCAGGAGGGCCCATCCGCCTTCCTAAAAGGAGCGGGCTGCCGGGCCCTGGTCGTAGCCCCTCTCTTTGGGATCGCCCAAGGCGTCTACTTCATCGGCATCGGCGAGCGCATCTTAAAAGTGTTCTGAGTAGCTTAGCTGGAGCCCAAGCCCCTTTCCCTGCGGCCATCTCTCGCCCGCTGCCCCAGCCTGCACTCTGCCTCTCTGCCCAGAGCCGCCTCCTGACAGGCGGCTGGCATAGACCTCTCCCTCCCCAGGCAGCTGCATTCCTTGTCTTTGGGCTTCACCTACCTGGGAGCTTCCAAAGCCCCTGACCGCCTATTATTGTTCCTACTCTGGTGTTACTGACTGCAGGGCCTGACAGATGGCTGAGATAGAAGGGCTGTCTCTACATTGTTTCACACCCAAACTCAGTATGCCCAAATCAGTGAGAACTTGCTCTTACAATTCCGAGTAACTTATGGTTAGTCCTAGTGCTGATTTTGGGAAAAAGAGGGCCAGAAATTGAAGGGGACCATGGAAGAGCTCAGTTGGCAAATCCTGCCCAATTGTGGATGGCTGAGGGGCGAGCAGCCAGGCAGGTGGGGCAGACATCCTGCCCCACGTTCTCCTTCTGGGCACAGGTGCCTGCAGACCAATGTCCAGGAAGGATCGTTTAAAATAAAGTCCACCAGCTAACAGCTCGTCCTTCCGTCATGGGAGCAGACAGGGTGTACCACCACCTACAGTCCCAGGTCCACCTCAGAGCCCAGTACAGACAGACGCTGAGACAAATCTCCGTCACCTATCAGATGATCACTGGGGGCTGGAAGGTAGCCGCAGGATTCTAGGTCACACTGGGCCTGGGTTTGTACTGACTCTACCCCTTCATAACTGCATCACCTTAAGGAACTGAATAAGCTGTGACAGCACCCACATGCCCCAAGTCCTTCCTGAGAGACTGCTGTGACCGGGAATCTTAGACATGCAGAAAATATGCCTGTCCCAGAACCTGGTACTGACACTAGTCCCCCCTGACCTGATGTTGGTGATGAAGTGCTTGGCCTAAAGACAAATTTGCTATGGAGAGGACTGCACATGAATGTGGGCTCGTGAGGCAGACACGAGTTCCAACCCCAGCTCTGCCTACCTGCAAAGCCTGGGGCAACTCAGCAGTCATCTGAGGGGCAAACAGGGAATAAGGAATGGGAAGAAGGGCTGTTGTGGAAAGGTTCAGGCCTAACACACAGTAACCCCTCTCTAACAAACCCTTTCTTTTCTGACTCAGCCAAAGCTAATAAAACTATTGCCTCCGTAAGGCTGTCAAATCCTTTAGAGGACCAGTAATGCTGAACAGCTCTGGGTGGTGTGTGTGGAAGAGTATAAAGGCTGGAAGGAACACTGCTGGGTAACGGTCTGGTAAAAACGAGCAGGGAGTGCCGAAGGACACAGAGGTGAACAGATTCAAGTTGTGATGCTGTCTGTCAGCACACACCCTGGGGACTTGGAAAACGCTGCTTTTCTAGACAACTCACTAAGCTTGGCCCTTGCAAATCACATGTAGTGTTCTGAATAAATTACAGTGAAATCCATGCAAACCTTTTGTTTTAATAAATAAAGCATATTCGAGGCTAGGATTTAAATCACATTTACAGAGGATAGACACTTCTAGGCCCAAACAGGTAACAGTGAAGCTCCTATTGCAGGAAGGAATGCAGACCCCACATGCATTTTAAGCCTAAACAGCAGAGACTGAATGCCAGAGAACACCACCCACACCACCCTCGGACCTGGGTGACTGGGCCCAGAGGAGGAGCCCAAGGCAGGAGGAAGTCCTTGCAACCACCGTACGGCCCCCACACCTTCAGGACTGTGCCTTCACGTAGGCAGAGGCGGGTTTCCTGGTCACACAATTAGGCTGAGAGCATTAGCTACAGAAGGTAACCACTGATACATACAGAGTATTAGAACAGCACAAAGGAAGCTACCCAGATATCTTCTTCAGTTACCAGAAACTTCCACGTCACAGCAGTAGAGCAGTACGTGCACACCTCCTACAGGCTCAGTCCAAAAACTTCCTGTTGGCATTTGCACCAAATAAGGCTCCCCGTACTTCCGGCATCATCTGTGAAGAAGTAAGTTATTTAAGGACACTCGGAGGACGTGGGAAGGGCTGTACATATTGACCACAGCTGGCAAGTCACTGACCCCCACATGGCTACAAGGGAAATAAAAGCCGAGCACACCAACCCGTCGTTTAGTACCCAAAGCCCCGTAACAGCCTCAGCAAGAACCTTAATCGACTGCAGACTTGTGCTAACACTGACTGCTTAGCAGGGATGAAGAAAAAAACGGAAGTCACTCCTGTTTAGGCACCTGATGTGTTGTGATGCACAGGCAAGAAGTGATACACTGATAACATTACTGGATCCCCTACACTCTCAGCAACATTTTCTACGCAAGGTGCAAGTTTGCACCGAGGCACTTGTGTGGCAACTGAAAATCCCTTAGGCTTTAATTTCAAACTTCAAGGGCTGCACATCCACTAGAGCAGCCTCAAGCCTCGTGGTCACTGGGCGCGCGGAGCACAGCTAGTGTGATGGCAGAGCTCCACTTTTAAGTTTACTTGTCAATTATTCTGTTCTTACATGAATATTGGGCATCACAGTCCTAGAGTCTAAGTTACCAGACGATGACACTCAAGGTAAAAGTGTTTCTGCCATTAAGACGAGCCAGTAGTTACAAGGATACCACTGCTGAAGGCACCCAGCATCTGGAGCAACTCAGTTTTCCTGGCTCGCTTCCTAAAGTTTATTTGTACAAACCAGAAACATGTGAAGAGCCAGCAGCCCTCTGGGCATTCCTCTCAACAAGTACTTACTTTAGTGCCCACCATTCTTGCTGGAGAAAGAACTGTGGTCAGCATCCATGGTAATAAAATGTACATTAGAATCCTTGATAAACAAGACCCCTGTCCTGACCCCAAATCCACCATCCTGTAAATGGTATCACCAAGTAAATGATAAGTACATAATCCCCATTCCTTTTAAGAAAACATCAAAGAATGTGGAAAGACAGCACAACTCCTAGATACCAAAGAATGGGCACACATTCTCTGTGTCCTTCAAATTNAGGAATTGCACACCACTACAGCTTCCTATAAAAAAGCATACCAGGCAGGGAGCAGCAGGGACTCACTGGACAATCCAGATCTTAGATTCCCTAGGAGCCAGACATTAGTGCTCTAAACCCAAGCCCATCCTCAGAACCCCAGCAGGTGTCAGCCTGGGGTGAGGGGAGTCTGTCCTATCCCTTCTGGCAGCCCACCACCAGGGTTCGGACTCGGCACCATGCGCCTCCAGGTCCTACATGACTGGCTCAGCATCCACCCACAGGCGCCCATCTGCCACCCTTGTCGCCAGGGAGCTGCTGCGCACCCAGGGCCTGGCTGGGCTCTACAAGGGTCTGGGTGCCACGCTCCTCAGGTGAGGCTTCCCTCCTGAACCTGGACACAGAAGGAGGACCTGGTGGCAGGGAGGAAGCCAAGGGCAAGGGATGTCTAGAATATTCAGACCCAGACAGCAGACTCTCTCTGTGGCACATTTAGTCCAGAACTGGGCAGGGCTGAGTACCTGAAGACTACTTTTAGGCCCCACTTTTGTGACCAGACCCACGTAAGTATTGGGTGTTCTGTGGCCCACACACCCCTACAAATGCCCATCTACAATTGACTGTGGGTCACTTTTAAGTAAATGAGGGGTGGGGCCTGTTTTACTCTGCCACTTGGCCAAAATCCTTCTAGCTGGTTGCAAGTGTCCCAGGCCAGGGCTTCTGTTCTATCAGCTGGGTGACAGTAAGTGAGCCTCACCTTCCTGCCTGCCCCACACCTCACAGGTGGCGCATGGCTCTTCGGCAGCCACCTCTAGCTCTCTGCATCAGCCTGCCTTCCCCAGCCTCTATTCTGCATCCCGCTCATCAGGAGGTCCAGGCCAGGCACTGGGGGCGGGTGCCAAGCTGGGTATGGGCGGTGAATCCATCCTTTCCCCTGCACCCAGCTGGCCAGGGCTGGGGCACAGGAGCAGGCGCCAGTGCATGTCTGCTGAGCCCAGCTCACACAAGGGGCTTGCCACACACACACCTGGGGAGGCCTGAGCACTCACAGCTCAGCACACCCCCTTCCACCGGCAGAGACATCCCCTTCTCCGTCCTCTACTTCCCGCTGTTTGCCAACCTGAACAGCCTTGGAGTCCAGGAGCTCACGGGGAAGGCCTCCTTTGCACATTCCTTCATGTCAGGCTGTGCTGCGGGCTCCATAGCTGCCATCACAGTGACACCTCTGGATGGTAAGTGCTTCGGGGTACGGAGGCCTCGAGGGCTGACTTGCTCTACAGATGAGTTGTCTATAGATAAAAACTAATTTTGCACTTCTAGGATAGAGGAACAGCCCCAACCTGATAACCCTCCTGGGTCACAACCTATGCTACCAGCAGAAATTCACTCAGGTCCTCCCAGGGGAACGTGGGGCCCAGGCCACCTTCACTTGTGTACTGATGAGGCCCCTTGCCCTCAGAGGCTGACTGCATCGGCTTTCTGCCCCAGCACAGTCATGAGCCTCAGCTGTCCACGGCTGCTGCTGGTTTCAACTTGGGGGCTATAGGCAAGAGCTGAGCAGGGTGACAGCGTCCCTGGCAGCCACACCCAGCTCCGTGACATGCAGCTGGAGCCCGACAGTTTGACTAACCTGGGGGCCATGCAGGTTGACTCTCCATCTTGCAGACGGGCCATGCGGAGTGTCCCATTCATGTCACAGGGCCTCAGGCCCAGCTGCTGACAGGCTGGCTCTAACAGGACATGAGCTGCTCCAAGGTGGGGGGCAGTCAAAGCCAACGCTCACTATTTACTTTAACTTTTGCTCAATTTAGTTTTGAAAACTCGAATCCAAACCCTAAAGAAAGGCCTGGGCGAGGACAGCTACAGTGGGGTCACTGACTGTGCCCGGTGAGTGCCCCTCAGTCCCCGGGCCTCTGTGTTGGGGTTGCCCTGCGCCAACCTAGAGAACAGCTCAATCCCCACACTAGGCAGAGCTCTGGATCTGAAATCTGTCCCCTTCCATCACCTCGAACAGAACAGGATGCCCTGCAGCTGTTTCTTCTCCTTCCTCCGGACAGCACCCTTCTCCCCCAGCGTAGCCACACTGAGGCGGTCCCCGTGCCTGGCCCCACGCTTAGCAACAAACTGCACACATGGAATGGGTGCAGCGAGGCCCCCGCCCCTGGGCCTGGCTCCTGCTGTGGAAAGAGCCCCTCCTCTCAAAGGAAGACGTACCAAGGGAGGAGGGGACACTGAGCACTGCATGCAGCTATGATTGCCTATCAGCTCACACAGCCTTTCCTTCTCCCCAGGAAACTCTGGATTCAGGAGGGCCCATCCGCCTTCCTAAAAGGAGCGGGCTGCCGGGCCCTGGTCGTAGCCCCTCTCTTTGGGATCGCCCAAGGCGTCTACTTCATCGGCATCGGCGAGCGCATCTTAAAAGTGTTCTGAGTAGCTTAGCTGGAGCCCAAGCCCCTTTCCCTGCGGCCATCTCTCGCCCGCTGCCCCAGCCTGCACTCTGCCTCTCTGCCCAGAGCCGCCTCCTGACAGGCGGCTGGCATAGACCTCTCCCTCCCCAGGCAGCTGCATTCCTTGTCTTTGGGCTTCACCTACCTGGGAGCTTCCAAAGCCCCTGACCGCCTATTATTGTTCCTACTCTGGTGTTACTGACTGCAGGGCCTGACAGATGGCTGAGATAGAAGGGCTGTCTCTACATTGTTTCACACCCAAACTCAGTATGCCCAAATCAGTGAGAACTTGCTCTTATAATTCCGAGTAACTTATGGTTAGTCCTAGTGCTGATTTTGGGAAAAAGAGGGCCAGAAATTGAAGGGGACCATGGAAGAGCTCAGTTGGCAAATCCTGCCCAATTGTGGATGGCTGAGGGGCGAGCAGCCAGGCAGGTGGGGCAGACATCCTGCCCCACGTTCTCCTTCTGGGCACAGGTGCCTGCAGACCAATGTCCAGGAAGGATCGTTTAAAATAAAGTCCACCAGCTAACAGCTCGTCCTTCCGTCATGGGAGCAGACAGGGTGTACCACCACCTACAGTCCCAGGTCCACCTCAGAGCCCAGTACAGACAGACGCTGAGACAAATCTCCGTCACCTATCAGATGATCACTGGGGGCTGGAAGGTAGCCGCAGGATTCTAGGTCACACTGGGCCTGGGTTTGTACTGACTCTACCCCTTCATAACTGCATCACCTTAAGGAACTGAATAAGCTGTGACAGCACCCACATGCCCCAAGTCCTTCCTGAGAGACTGCTGTGACCGGGAATCTTAGACATGCAGAAAATATGCCTGTCCCAGAACCTGGTACTGACACTAGTCCCCCCTGACCTGATGTTGGTGATGAAGTGCTTGGCCTAAAGACAAATTTGCTATGGAGAGGACTGCACATGAATGTGGGCTCGTGAGGCAGACACGAGTTCCAACCCCAGCTCTGCCTACCTGCAAAGCCTGGGGCAACTCAGCAGTCATCTGAGGGGCAAACAGGGAATAAGGAATGGGAAGAAGGGCTGTTGTGGAAAGGTTCAGGCCTAACACACAGTAACCCCTCTCTAACAAACCCTTTCTTTTCTGACTCAGCCAAAGCTAATAAAACTATTGCCTCCGTAAGGCTGTCAAATCCTTTAGAGGACCAGTAATGCTGAACAGCTCTGGGTGGTGTGTGTGGAAGAGTATAAAGGCTGGAAGGAACACTGCTGGGTAACGGTCTGGTAAAAACGAGCAGGGAGTGCCGAAGGACACAGAGGTGAACAGATTCAAGTTGTGATGCTGTCTGTCAGCACACACCCTGGGGACTTGGAAAACGCTGCTTTTCTAGACAACTCACTAAGCTTGGCCCTTGCAAATCACATGTAGTGTTCTGAATAAATTACAGTGAAATCCATGCAAACCTTTTGTTTTAATAAATAAAGCATATTCGAGGCTAGGATTTAAATCACATTTACAGAGGATAGACACTTCTAGGCCCAAACAGGTAACAGTGAAGCTCCTATTGCAGGAAGGAATGCAGACCCCACATGCATTTTAAGCCTAAACAGCAGAGACTGAATGCCAGAGAACACCACCCACACCACCCTCGGACCTGGGTGACTGGGCCCAGAGGAGGAGCCCAAGGCAGGAGGAAGTCCTTGCAACCACCGTACGGCCCCCACACCTTCAGGACTGTGCCTTCACGTAGGCAGAGGCGGGTTTCCTGGTCACACAATTAGGCTGAGAGCATTAGCTACAGAAGGTAACCACTGATACATACAGAGTATTAGAACAGCACAAAGGAAGCTACCCAGATATCTTCTTCAGTTACCAGAAACTTCCACGTCACAGCAGTAGAGCAGTACGTGCACACCTCCTACAGGCTCAGTCCAAAAACTTCCTGTTGGCATTTGCACCAAATAAGGCTCCCCGTACTTCCGGCATCATCTGTGAAGAAGTAAGTTATTTAAGGACACTCGGAGGACGTGGGAAGGGCTGTACATATTGACCACAGCTGGCAAGTCACTGACCCCCACATGGCTACAAGGGAAATAAAAGCCGAGCACACCAACCCGTCGTTTAGTACCCAAAGCCCCGTAACAGCCTCAGCAAGAACCTTAATCGACTGCAGACTTGTGCTAACACTGACTGCTTAGCAGGGATGAAGAAAAAAACGGAAGTCACTCCTGTTTAGGCACCTGATGTGTTGTGATGCACAGGCAAGAAGTGATACACTGATAACATTACTGGATCCCCTACACTCTCAGCAACATTTTCTACGCAAGGTGCAAGTTTGCACCGAGGCACTTGTGTGGCAACTGAAAATCCCTTAGGCTTTAATTTCAAACTTCAAGGGCTGCACATCCACTAGAGCAGCCTCAAGCCTCGTGGTCACTGGGCGCGCGGAGCACAGCTAGTGTGATGGCAGAGCTCCACTTTTAAGTTTACTTGTCAATTATTCTGTTCTTACATGAATATTGGGCATCACAGTCCTAGAGTCTAAGTTACCAGACGATGACACTCAAGGTAAAAGTGTTTCTGCCATTAAGACGAGCCAGTAGTTACAAGGATACCACTGCTGAAGGCACCCAGCATCTGGAGCAACTCAGTTTTCCTGGCTCGCTTCCTAAAGTTTATTTGTACAAACCAGAAACATGTGAAGAGCCAGCAGCCCTCTGGGCATTCCTCTCAACAAGTACTTACTTTAGTGCCCACCATTCTTGCTGGAGAAAGAACTGTGGTCAGCATCCATGGTAATAAAATGTACATTAGAATCCTTGATAAACAAGACCCCTGTCCTGACCCCAAATCCACCATCCTGTAAATGGTATCACCAAGTAAATGATAAGTACATAATCCCCATTCCTTTTAAGAAAACATCAAAGAATGTGGAAAGACAGCACAACTCCTAGATACCAAAGAATGGGCACACATTCTCTGTGTCCTTCAAATTAACAGCAGACCAACTAACCAAGAAGCACTCCCACTCACCTGCTGGGCTATGAGATCCAGCCGGCTTTCTAAGGTATTGGACACCTTTATTTTACGATCCCCATTATAGATCTCAACTCCACCAGCTCTACAAAGAACACAGGAAATAACAATTTTTATAAATTTGAGACAGACAGACACACGTGGTACATTTACTTTCTTTGAGGAAAGCTGTTTTGGTGTGTGGGATGTCCCAATACTGTGAGGAGCCAATAAATTTACATAATAAGCTTAAAATTAATTCAGAAAGCTTCCAAGGACTTAAGGTACAGATGCTGGTAGTAACTGCCATCTGCCAGTTATGATAAATGGTACACATAGATTCATGTCACCGTGCCTATCGAATTCTAGCCACCAGACCTCCCCAGCAAAACAAAAAGGGAAGGATTTAGTCCCAGTTTGCAAAACCACTAGATATTAGAAAGAGTCCTCATCTGATGTTCCTTAAAGGCCCAATCCTGCTAATTACCAGGGGACAGTAATAAGGCAATGCTTAGACTACGCTGTGCACCATTGCAGCCTGTGCGGAGCCCTGCCTCCACCACCCCTCCTGTCCCAGGCTGTCCAAAGAATAAAATTCTCTTGCTACATTAGAATTGTAACTTACCAAGTATTTCCCAAAATAAGCAGGCTGTGAGCTAAAGGCTGGCAAGGTCTTGCAATCTTTCTTTGGAAACGGTAATGGACTGTAACGTCAGTATTATGTTCTCACTCCATCCTCCCTCCCTGTTTCTCTGGTGTACCTATCTTTGGTTTCTTAAAACAGACTATCCTTAAACAACTATTTACTTAGTCCTTATGAAATTAGGACACAGTTGGCCCTTTGCTGACATCCTGATCGTACTATCTGGGATACCATTCTGTCTCTGTGGGAGGAGTAAGGGAAGACCCCCACTGAGAACATCTATGTGTGTGCCAGGCACTCTCAAGGGTGTGTACAACTTCCACCTCCAGTGCCCTGTAAGAGTCTTGGTATTCTCCCCATTTTACAAACAAGAGGTAGAATAAAATGAATTTATTAATTAAAATTAAAATATGCAGAATTTCACTTTAAATTTGCATTGGAATTTTATGTCTACGTTCCCTAACAGGCAATGCTGAAATTGAAAGAGCTCTGAAAACAAAAACACTAATTTGTGTGGCTCCAAAGCATGAACTGACCTCTAGTCCTTTGGCAGCATATCTTTTGCGTTTATGCCTTGGAGTGTGAATACTGCTGTTTCCATTCAGAAACATCAGTCTATCTGATCACAGGGGTGGCACCTCAGATCCTGTATGGGGTACTAGGGAACGTATGGTCCCAGAGGTTTCAGAAACAGTGCTGGACTGAAGCCTGAGCTAAGTGTTTTGCATCCTGTCTGCTTATCTCCACAACAGTCAGCGCTTCCTCTGCAGGCTGACCTGAGGGGCTGTGAGCAGCACGGGTGGCTGGTAGGCATGGAAGAACAGGGCACTGAGGACAGCAACAGCTGTGGGCAGCACGGCCGCAGTGGCACCTCACGGTGACCAAGGCCTTGCACAGACTCCTTCAAGGGCCCAGCACAAAGACCATTCTCGCAGTGAGAGCAGCTCAGATGTTAAAAGCAAGAATACCCCTTACATCTCCGCAGGCAGGAAGGCTTCCTGATCAATCTGGACATCAACGTCTTTTTTGGTGGCGATTTTGTACACAGGGATTGCTTTTTGCACTGCAGCCTAGAAAAGCAGCAAACAGTAAGAGGTTTAGAAGAAACTGGGGGCACAGGTATCCAAAACACCAACAAACTGTGCAAGGACATTCCTACCAGTTTTTCAAGTGCAAGAACAGATGCAGTTTTCTGCACCCCTGCATTCACTGCCTCATTATTTACAGTAGCCAAGATAGAGAAGAGCCCTGTGCCCATTGACAGATACATGGGTAAAGATGTGGTACATACACACATGGAGTATTACTTAGCCATAAAAAAGGAAACCCTGCAGCTTCCAACATGGTGGACCTAGACGGTACCATGCTAAGCAAAGTCAGCCAGAAAGAGAAAGACAAATACCATGCTGATTTCACTAATATGGGGAATCTAAAAAGCAAACCAAGATATAGACCCACAAATATAGACAACAGACTGTTGGTTATCATAGGGTAGGGAGGAGAAGGGGATAAAATATGTGAAGGGAATAAAGAGGTACAAACTGCAAATCGCGGAACAGATTAGTCACAGGAATGGAAGCACAACGTAGAGAATATAAGCAGTAACACTGTATAGTATCTTGGCATGGCAACAGGGGGAACTGTACTTCCTGCAGCGATCATCTAGTGATGCAAACAATCACCAAGTCATTATGTTGTACATCTGAAACCAACATAATACTGTGTATCAACTTTACTGCAAAAAAATAATTATTTTTAAAAGTGAAGTACTGAAACATGTTACATCATGGATAAATCTGGAAAATATCATAAGTGAAAGAAAGCAGTCACAAAAGACCACTTACTGTAAGGTTCCTTTATAGGAAATGTCCTGGGTAGATGAACTTACAGAGACCAAAAGTAAATTAGTAGTTGCCTAGGGCTGAGGGGAGAGGGGAAAGCGTTCAGAGGTGACAGATAAAAGGCAGAAGATTCTTTTTTGGGGGTGATGAAGACATCCATCCTAAAAATGACGATGGTCACAGCTGCGCAGTGTTGGTGTGCTAGGAACCATTATTTACTTAAAAAAAAAATACATGCATTGTTAGTGGTAATGTACAACAGCACAGCCACCATGGAGAATGGTACAGCACTTCCCCCAAAATGAGACACTGAAATGCCAAGGGATCCAGCAATTCTACCTCAGGATACACATCCGAAGGTCAAAGCAGAGACGTGAACAGGTATTTGCACACCTACATTCACAGCTGTCTTACTCACAATAGCCAAAAGATAGATAGCCCAACACCTAACCCATGAGCGGATAAGCAACATGTGGTGTACAGGCAAACCTTCTTTCACTGTGCCTCACAGACAATGCATTTTGTTCAAACTGAAAGTTTGGGGCAAACTTGCTTTGAGCCAGTCTCTCAACACCATTTTTTCAACTGCATTTGTTCACTTCATATCTCATGCTGGAAATTCACTATTTTGAACTTTTTCAATTATCATTATTGTTATGGTAATCTGTGATCTTTGATGCTAAACTACTGTAAACTACTTTGGGGCTC